GGGGGGGGGGGGGGGGGGGGGGGGGGGAAGTCGAAAAGTCGAAGGAAAGATGCTCATAGGGTTTTTGAAGTTGTTATCACTATTGGGAAGAGAGATCTAAGCTGTCTCTACTATTGAGAGGAGACAGGAGAACAAAAAGAGGGAGAGAGAGAAAAGAAGAAGGGATCTTTCCTCTTCTTTCTCCCCCCCCCCTTTTTCTTTTTACACTCTCCCTTGTTTCTTATTATCAAGCCTTCCCTCCTCTATTCGTCTTTAGGTGTGGGTTTTTTTTTATACTTAGAAAAAGAAAATCTCCAATGTCATCTTTCTTTTGTCCTTTTAGTTTCTCTTTTTTTGGGGAAAGGGAAATGTTTCGCGTCAATATGAAGATGAAGGAGGGGAAAAAAAAGGGGGGGGGGAGTAAGTAGTATTTCTTGGAGATTGTAATTACACCTGTACAATTTGTCAATACTTTTTTTCTTTTTCTTTCCCCCCCCCTCCTTGTTTTCCTTGTTCCCCCCCCCATTCTTCTTCTTTAAAATCTCAATCTCAATCTCAATTTCAACAAAGCATTTTTCCAAAAAACCCAACTTTTGTCTACATTCACAATATCAAGTGATTTAAAATAGGAATCGGTACATGTGTAATGTGTACATGTATGTTGAGGCCCGAGGAACATGGATCATGTCAACTTGTCAAGTGAAATCATATCAAGTGATTGGGTACCATCACACATGTATGGCGAGAGATAAAAAAGAAGCAAGTCGGCTTTTGTTCGTTGGTCTTGGTTCAGAAAAGAAGGAAAAAAAATCTAGAAAATGTAAACAAGCATTATATAGAATAGCTTTCGTTCTTTGGTCTTGTTTTTAGGGAGAAAAAGAAAATGGTCCAGAAAAGCAAAGGGAGCATTGTATATAATAGCTTTTGTTAGAAAGATCTTGAGATTTTTTTTTTTTTTGGTTTTTCCTCTTTTTTTTTCCCGCTTTTAAATTATTTCTTTTTCATTGAAAGCCCTCTCCTTACTGGAGGTTCTCAATGACAATGGCCGAAGCACCGCCGCCACCGTTGCAGATGCCAGCCACACCAACCTTGGCCTTCTTGTTGGCCAGCACGGAGGCGAGCGTGGTGACGATGCGGGCGCCCGAGCAGCCGAGAGGGTGGCCGATGGCGACGGAACCACCCCAGACGTTGACCTTTTCGGCGTCGAGACCGAGGTGCTTGAGATTGCCGAGGGCGACGACGGAGAAGGCCTCGTTGATCTCGTAGTAGTCGACGTCCTTGTCCGAGAGGCCGGCGTGCTTGATGGCCTTGGGGATGGCCAGGGCAGGCGCGACGGTGAAGCGCTCGGGCTCACGCTCGGCGTCGCCCCAGCCGAGGATCTTGGCGATGGGCTTGAGGCCGAGCTCCTTGACCTTGGCCTCGGAGGCGAGCACGACGGCGGCGGCACCGTCGTTGATGGGGGCGGCGTTGGGGGCCGTGACGCTGCCGTCCGACTTGAAGGCAGGCCTCATGGCGCGCAGCTTGGCCTCGTTGAGGTTCTTGACCTCTTCGTCGCGGTCCACGACGACGGGAGGCTTGCCGCGACCGCCGGGCACCTCCACGGGGACGATCTCCTTGAACAGGCCAGCCTCGGTGGCGGCCTGGGCACGCTGGTACGACCGCACCGCGTAGTTGTCCTGGTCCTCGCGCGAGAACTCGTTGTCGGTGGCGCACAGCTCGGCCTGGAGACCCATGTGCTCCTTCTTGAAAGAGTCGGTCAGGCCGTCCTTGAGGACGCCGTCGACCAGGGTCTGGTCTCCGTACTTGGCGCCGGCGCGCAGGTTGGGGAGATAGTGAGGCACGTTGGACATGGACTCGGCGCCGCCGGCGACGACAATGTCCGAGGTGCCGAGCATGATGTTCTGGGCACCCAGGATGATGGCCTTGAGCGAGGACGCGCACACCTTGTTCACCGTCGTGGCCACAGTCTTCTGGGGGAGGCCGGCGCCGAGGGCGGCCTGGCGGGCAGGGCCCTGACCGAGGCTGGAGAGGCGGAAGGTTAGCACGGGCTGAATCCGAAGCTGAAGGGACCCGGAGAGAGGTGTTACCCGGCAGAGAGGACGTTGCCGAAAAAGACCTCGTCGACATCCTCGTTCCTGATGCCTGCACGCTGGACGGCACCTGTTGTACGATGGAGGGGTATATTGTTTAGCGGGGTCGTCTCTTATGCTCATCTGGAAGGAGAGGAGGGGTAACGAACCCTTGATGGCCTCGGAGCCGAGCTGGGTAGCGCTCAGAGCCGACAGGGAGCTGGAGAGCGACAGTCAAGTCAGCACGACCGTCATCGTCATTCCTGTCCTGCCAAACCTCAACAGCTGGCTGACGACGATGAGCCCGGAGAAGAGGGGGAGGGGGGGACGTACCCAAGGAAAGACCCCACGGGGGTTCTGGCTGTCGAGACGATGTAGACGGTCGGAAGGTTGGCCATGATGACTGGTTGACTGGCTTGCTGGAAAGGGGGGGGGAGGATATGGAAAGAAGAAGATGGAAGGGAAAGAATGCCGGAAGAAGAAAAAAAAGAAGACGAGAAGAAGCGTGGGAAACGGAAAAACAGAGGGACCAGGAGGGGAGGAGGGGGAGGGGCAGAGAGAGCTGAAATGAGAGAGAGAGGAAAGAAGCAGCAGAGGAGTGCCGCACGCCGGTGATCGGCGCGCGAACTTGGCTGGGGTGAGAGCTACGGGCCAACTCGTACGAGTCTGACGTCGCAATCTGTACATCATTGATCTGTGCTGTGCCGTATCACTATGCCGCTATCCTCCGTACGGAGTCATGTTCGAGGACCGTGCCGCTGCAGTGTCGAACAGTATCATCATGTATCCGTACCTGTGAATGCTGCTGCTGCTGCGAGCGGGTTGCTGTGCGGGTCTGTAGGTGACGGGCTGCGTGTATCGACGCTTGTGAGCAGTAATATGCTGTGGATGGTGGTTGTAGTGCTGTATTACAGCAGCATCATTAGTGGTGGTTGGTGGTGGTGGTGGTGGTAGTGGTGTGCTGACCCTCCCCCCCCCCCCCCCCCCCCCCCCCCCCCCCCTCCTCCTCCCGAAGATTGGTCCCCCTGCGACGGTCCCTGTAACGGCCCCTGTAACGGCCCCTGTTTGGTTCCCGCTAAAGGCTCTGAGGGAGACCCGAAGGCTGTGGAAAGCTGCCGGCCACGCATCTGCACGACGGAATAGCCCGTTCTTCTCACCTCCCGCTTCTGGCCTGTGATCGTGATGCTAACACAGCTGCAGGACTGCAGACAGGTATATGTATTACCTCATTAGCTTCTTGGCTTCCAATGCGTGGTATTACCGCTGCGAGTATTAGTAGGAATACTACTACGAATAGTAAGCCGTAGCTGTGTGGGTTGGAGGGGCACTAATGCATCGCTGTCTGTAGCCAATCATGGCTTCTGTCGTCATCTCATCCGATGCAGCCTTGCATGACCGTGCACGTGATCTGGCGCAGCCTCGTCGCGTCGGAAAAAGTTCGAGCGTGTGTCGCTGCGTGCGTAGTTGGCCGTCAGTGCTGCCATCATTCCTGCCAGCAGCAGTTCTCCATCCCACGCCGCGCTGCTCTTGGAGGTGACAAAGATGGATGATCTCTATGACGAGTATGCACGCTCCCTCCCTTCCTGATCAGCACCCCCCGATCATCCCCCTTCTCGGTGCTGCTTTGCGCCTGCATCGGATCGAGAAGGCTGGCTCCGTCGTTGAGCTCTGGCGGAGAGCTCGTTCACGCTGACTGCTGGGTGGTATAGGTTCGGTAACTTCATTGGGGAGGAGGTAGAGTCCGAGGAGGCGTCCGAGGCCGGTGTCGACGCCAACGACTATGTCTATGACGACGACGCATCTGAAGCCGCCGGCGGTGTGACGGGCCAGGAGCTCATGGAGGTTGACCGTATGTATACCACCTACTTCTGACGCGAGGGGATAGGGAGAGGCGAGGACGGTCGGAGGGCTGACAGCCGGTGCGCGCTCACGCAGAATCGGGAGGGAACGCAGTGATACTCCACGAGGACAAGCAGTACTATCCGACGGCCCAGCAAGTATACGGCGAAGAGGTCGAGACGCGGGTGGAAGAGGTGGACGCGCAGCCGCTGTCGCAGCCCATCGTGGCGCCGGTGGTCCAGAAGAAGTTCACCATCGAGGAGGCGGACCTGCCGCCCGTCTTCTTCGACCGCGAGTTCATGACGGACCTCATGAACTTTCCCGAGCAGACTCGCAACGTCGCTTTTGCCGGCCACCTGAACCACGGCAAGACGGCCTTTGTCGACATGCTCGTGCTCGAGACCCACGACATTGCCGACCGGCTGGAGAGGAGGGTCGGCCGCAGCAGAGACGAGCAGCTGCGGTACACGGACATTCACATCGTCGAGAGGGAGCGTGGGGTATCGACCAAGGCTGCGCCGATGAGCCTGGTGCTGCAGAGCTCCAAGGGCAAGTCGCACCTGGTCAACTTCATCGACACGCCGGGCCACGTCAACTTTGTCGACGAGGTGGCGGCGTCGTTCCGTCTGGTGGACGGCGTGTGTCTGGTCGTCGACGTGGTCGAGGGTGTCCAGGTCAACACGGAGCAGATCATCCGTCACGCCGCTCTGCAGGACCTGCCGCTGACGCTCATCATCAACAAGATGGACCGTCTGGTGCTCGAGCTCATGCTGCCGCCCAAGGACGCCTACTACAAGCTCAAGCACGTCGTCGAGGAGGTCAACAGCATCATCGCCGCCACCGTCCCCACCCGCGCCGCCGCCAGGCGCATCAGCCCCGAGAAGGGCAACGTCCTCTTCGCCTGCGCCGAGATGGGCTGGTGCTTCACCCTGTCGTCGTTTGCCCGGATGTACTCGGAGGAGTATGGCGGCATCGACCCGGACGAGTTCGCCAAGAGGCTGTGGGGCGACGTCTACTACAACCCCAGGAAGCGCAACTTCACGCGCAAGCCCGTCGAGCAGGGCGCCGCGCGATCGTTTGTGCACTTCGTCATGGAGCCCATCTACAAGATCTTCTCGCACTCCATCAGCGACAGCCCCGAGGACCTGCGCCCCCTGCTGGCGTCGCTGGGCGTCGAGCTCAAGCCGTCGCAGTACAAGGCCGACGCCAAGGAGATCCTGAGGCTGGTGTGCGAGCAGTTCTTCGGTCCGTCGACCGGCTTCGTCGACATGATCGTGCAGCACATCCCGGCGCCGGCCGAGGCAGCCGAGCGGACGCTGGAGCTGTACTACACCGGTCCCACCGACAGCAGGGTGGCGGCGTCGATCCGCGCGTGCGACCAGGACGGCCCCCTGGTGGTGCACGTCACCAAGCTGTTCAACACCACGGACGCCAAGAGCTTCTACTCGCTCGGCCGGGTGCTGAGCGGCACGGCGCGGCCGGGAATGCAGGTGCGCGTGCTGGGCGAGAACTACTCGCTCGACGACGACGAGGACATGGCCATGGCGACGGTGGGCGAGGTGCTCATCGGCGAGACGAGGTACAACATCCCGACCGACGGCGTCCCCGCCGGCAACCTGGTGCTGCTGGGCGGCGTGGACAACTCCATCGTCAAGTCGGCGACGATCGTGGCCCCCAAGCTGGTCGGCGACGACGGCGAGGAAGAGGACGCCTACATCCTCCGACCGGTGAAGCACTTCACCGAGTCGGTGCTCAAGCTCGCCATCGAGCCCATCAACCCGTCGGAGCTGCCCAAGATGCTCGACGGCCTGCGCAAGATCAACAAGTCGTACCCGCTCATCACCACCAAGGTCGAGGAGTCGGGCGAGCACGTCATCCTGGGCACCGGCGAGCTGTACATGGACTGCGTGCTGCACGACCTGCGCCGCCTCTACGCCGACATGGACATCAAGGTCTCGGACCCGGTCACCCGCTTCTGCGAGACCGTCGACGAGTCCTCGGCCACGAAGTGCTACGCCATCACGCCCAACAAGAAGAACAAGATCACCATGGTGGCCGAGCAGCTGGAGAAGGGCATCTCCACCGACATCGAGTCGGGTGCCGTCAACATCCACGAGCCTGTGCGCAAGACGGCCAAGTTCTTTGAGGAGAATTACGGGTGGGACAAGCTTGCGGCCAGGAGTATCTGGGCTTTCGGTCCGGACGAGAGGGGCCCTAATATCCTCCAGGATGATACCCTTCCTACCGAGGTACGTTCCCCCCCACCAACCTCTTTCTCTCCTTTCGATAATTGCCATATCGGGGCGGATATATATATACCAATGCAGTACTGACATGATATGCAGGTCGACAAGAAACTCTTGGGTACAGTCAAGGAGTCGATCCGGCAAGGATTCAGCTGGGCGACGAGGGAAGGCCCGCTGTGCGAAGAGCGTAAGTCAAAGACACTCCCACTCGGAAGAAGCCTGGGGAGAGGGGGGGGGTGGTGACGATGAAGGGAAAAAAGAAAAAAGAAAAAAAAAGAAGAAGAAAAACGGACAGGTTCGCTAACTGACACTACGCGCGACGCAGCCATCCGAAACACCAAGTTCAAATTGACCGACATCGTGCTGGCAGGCGAAGCCATCGCCCGAGGTGGCGGTCAGATGATCCCCACGTCGCGACGGGCGTGCTACTCGTCGTTCCTGATGGCGTCCCCCCGCCTCATGGAGCCGGTGTACTCTGTGTCGGTGACGGGGCCGGAGTCGTCCCACATGGAGGTGTACAACCTCCTGGCCCGACGGAGGGGCCACGTCCTGTCGGACGGCCCGGTGGCCGGCACGCCGCTCTACCGCGTCAACGGGCTGGTGCCCGTCATCGACAGCTTCGGTTTCGAGGCAGACCTGCGCATCAACACGCAGGGCGGCAGCATGGTCAGCCTGGTCTTCGACAGCTGGAGCATCGTGCCCGGCGACCCGCTCGACCGCGACCAGATCCTGCGTCCTCTCCAGCCGGCGGCCACGCAGGCCACGGCCCGCGACTTCGTGCTCAAGACGAGAAGGCGCAAGGGTCTCAGCGAGGATATCAGCGTGCGGACATTCCTCGAGCCCGATTTCTACCAGAGTCTCATGGAGAGTGGATTGCTAGAGGGGAGATGAGAGGGGTTGAAACGTCTTGTGTGTGTGTGTGTGTGCGCGTATACTTCTGGTTTTAATCTATTTCATGTCTGGGGTACTACAGCGAAAGTTTCTCTGGATGGTTTTAAAATTAAACAAATAAAAAGGATTTATCTTTTTCCCTCTTCCTCCTCCCCCCCTCCCCCCTTTTCTTTTTTTTTTTTAAACAAAAAACCTAAAAAAAAAGAGAACATGAGGTCTGTACACGTCTATATACGATTGAAAAAAAAGATTAGATTGTCATAACTGTTACAAAGTTGTCAGGGGTATAAGACGCTAGAGAATGATGAATAATATATATTCGTGGTCCTGACGAAGGGAGAGAGAGAGCTTCAAAGACAAGTCTCGAGCATCTTATCAAGAACCCCCTTGAGAGTATCATTCTCCAGGGCGGCAGCGACGCGCTCCTTGTCGCCGAGCTGCTTGTTCACCTGGTCATCCTGGCTGTGGCTGTCCTTCTTGCAGCGCACGACGACGCGGTAGTTGGGCGGCAGGGCCCGCTCCAGGCGGACGCGGACCCCGAGGCCGATGACGGTGGCGAGCGAGCAGTGTGTGATTGTCGGCGTTATGTCCACCAGGACCGTGACGATGGTGTTGGGCGAGGGGACAGTGCCAGGTGTGGGGGTGGGCGTGATGTGGATATCATGGAGGTTGATGACCGACAGCTGACCCAGAGAGACTGGGTGTTCTGGGTCGGAGATTGTAGAGATCAGGTCTGTTTTTTTATTATTATTCATTCTTATTAATTTTTGTTATTCTTAGTTCTTATTGATTTTTCAAACGAAAAAAAAAAATTTCTTTCCCCTCTCTTGAGTCATGAACATGTATGTACGGACGGACGGATGATTTGGTGGTGGCGAAAAAAAAAAGGAGAAGAAGAAGAAGAAAAAAAATCAAGATTGTGAGGGACGTACCGTAAATCTCTTGCTCGTCTATAGGATCCAGACCAGATCCAACTTGATCATCGCTGCTACCGCTGCCAGGCCACGAAGGCCAGGATTCACGGTCGTCTGAAGAAGACGTGAAGTAGAATGGACTGGACAGGTAAGACGGTTTCTGGAGGATGGCATCGGTGTACTTTGACTCTGGACCGTGACGGGCCACGATGCGCTTGCCACGGGTGGGCAGCTGCGAGGCGCTGAGGATGGTGGGGTTGGCGTTGTCGAGGGTGGCCATGGTGAGAGGGTTGACGGGAGAGATCAGGCCCTTCCTGGGGGGGGGGTGGGGAAAAGAATGGAGGGTTTCTCTTCTTGACTGCTTGGAGATAACAACAACAGTATCAGATTCTCCGATATGTTGGACGCTGTATCTTTACAGAAGGGGAGATGCAAGATGTAGTCGAGGAGGGAGTTGGAGGGGCAGAGTTGAAAGTTGATATGGTGATAGTAGATTTTTATTTTTATTACTGCTGTAGTAAGTAACTATTCGGTAATCTGTAATCTGTACATTTCCAAGAAATTCTGACGCCACACTCATCGATCCCCTCCCCCCCCCCACTGTTATCATCATCTATCGATAAGATACAAGAAAACAACGATCCGTAATGTCGTGTCCCACACCAAAGTGTTATATCCGTCGTAATATTCACAAACGCTTCTCTGCTATTGATGTATGTTTTATCTTTCTGACAATTTTTTTTTCCCTGACAAGCTCGTTTTAGCATTGCGCGTTTCTCTTTCTTTTTTCTTCCTTTACTTCCCCTCATTTTGAGGCTGTCGCGCTCTTGTACTGTAATATCACTCGTATGCTATAGCCGGTATTCAGAACCACTACGACTACTACTCCTAAAGGATAGAGGAAGAAGCAATGGAAGAAGATGAGGAGAAGAAGAAGAAAAAACCTCATCCACGCATGGTCAATGCAGTTCAGATCCAAGTGAGGCTGAGCGACATAGGCAGAACCATCATCAATGCGAGTTTAGGGCGACGTTGCACAGCATAGGAGAGAGACAGTGTGCCTCGCACTTTTATAACTTGTACCTTCTTCCCTTTCTCGTCATAGCTGGCCCGCCTACGTTGATTAGTGTTATCGGAGAGAAACAGGATATTGCCCAAGATGAGAATAAGGATCAAAAAAAAAAAAAACAAGAAAATACCCATCAAGGCTGGTCGGAGTCGGGACTGGGTAGACTCGATTTGATCAAAAAAAAAAAAAAAAAACAGAAAGAAAGGAGAGAAAGAAGAAAACTATCGGGCTTGAGGAAGGGGTTCATCTAGCTGCTAAGAGGAACGGAGTACTCCGTATTGCAAGGTAATGATATCTACTAGAGACACTGGTTTGGAACAACCACATCAATCAAGTGCCACAGGCAAGACGCGTCCCAGCTAGCAGGGGGGGTAGAGCCATGGTGTGGTTTCCCATCCATTCTGATGGGGATCATGCCCCCCCCCCCTTTCTCCCCTTTCCTTCCCTTCATCCTCTCCTCTGTTCGACTCAGACGTGTCGGTGGAAGAGTGCGGTGGGTAGGAGGGGCAGAAGAGAAGAGAGACGGGGACCTGAGAAGCAGGAATTTCCGTCACCCGTACGTAGCAAGGGGTGTAACAGAGAATAGCACAGGTGTTTCTCATCAAGAGAGGAGAGAGGAACAACCCGTCCCCCCACCCCCCCGTAGACGAGAAGGAGGGGAGGGATTTACGATATCCGACGTATCATAGAACCCCTTTGCTGGGGGGGGACGCACACGCAGTCCTCCTCCCCTGGGAGCTCTGCCTGTACATATGATACCTCTCGCAGCGACTAGGCCCTGGGAGTGACTGTTTCGTGGTGACACTTGAATCTCCACCAAGGTCGTTTCCGAGGTGGAGTTTGTTGGCCGGGTGGAAGCCTTCTCGAATACTTAGCCGACGACCCACGCACGCGACGTCTGTGCGGGACATGTGGACGTGATTCTGTTGATGTTGACTACCAGAGGTTGCTGGTAGAACGGTGGCAGGTAATGAATGGCACACGTAGTACGAAAATGGTCAAGAGGTAGGCATTATTACTCCGTAATAAGCCCCCCCCCCCCCCCCCCCCCC